ATTCCCTCCAATGTAGAAAATGGTAAAGATTAAAGTTGGCTCATTTCAAAGAGCATCTGTCCTTAATGCACTTAATTTCTAAAAATATTGAACACTAAGCTTCTGTTAGTCAAACCATACCTGCCTACCTGTTTGTTGTCTCCAGTTAAAGATTATGAAAGTTGCTATAGTTGGAAAAACTTATGTAATTCAACTCTCTGCAGTGATTTTTGATGACTGCTCAGGACGTAAAAGAGCACTTTATATGTCGGATGATTCCCGATTTCAAGTGGACACAGATGGAACTATAAAGGTGAAGAGAGCTGTGAATCTGCATAATGGACACAAGCGTTTTTCAGTCCATGCCTGGGATTCTAGTGGGAAAAAACTGACCACAAGAGTCACAGTGGAAAATGAGATAAGAAGCCATCACCACCACCATGAGGATAGTGTCACTCCTGGACAGGTAATTACTTCATAGCTTTTAGTGTCCCCTGATGGCTTAAAGTCATGACCACATTCTACAAATGGGGTACTTTTAAATTATAGAATTGAAATTCCTTTTGTTAAAACTATACTTTTATACTGTTCTTTTGCATCTCAATTTGAGATGCAATTTTATCAAGTATTATGTCGTTAACTAAACTTATAAGCTGTAATACCACCACAAATTACACAATTTACAAAAACACAAATCATTTTCACAGCCTGAATCCTCTCCAGACGTCCCAGTCCTGGTGTTTCCACAGTCCTCCACTGGAGAGCGGAAGAGACAGAAGAGAGACTGGGTCATTCCACCCATCGCTGTTTCTGAAAACAACAGAGGCACTTTCCCACAAACTCTGGTTAAGGTACATCATCATTAACTTATTGTATTACAAATTTATAATGTAACTGAATATAATTGTATCTTATCTGTACTTTGTGTAAGTGTGATGTTTTACTCCCAGCACCCACACCCAGCTGTTATAAATCATGTGTATGGTATTTAGTGACTCTTTAATTATAATTATACTAGCCAATTAGCCTGTATCAGAATTATAGAGATCATAATAAGCCTTCAGAAAGCTTTACGTGTGACTCCAAAGTGGCTTAAATAATAAAACTACTCATGTAGACAGCAGGTTGGCCCAGATATTTCTGATTCAAGTGTGACCACCATTTCAGGCAGGTGCTGAAGGATGATTAGGGCACTCTGTGTAGTATTTGCTGGCTGATGCTTTTAGTAAAACGGTCACTCCTACTACTTGCAGGTTCCTTCCCGAATTTCCTTCATCTGAATGCAATCATGATAAAGTATTCAAGCCATTTTCTGTGGCAAACCTCTGACACCTCTTTCTTAAAAGAGGTACCTTCTGCTAAGTAGGGTGTATTATGGCTAATATGGGTTTATTTTGTATACAGAGAAAAGTTGAGGGTACTGTACTAGTTAATGTTGGAGAATGTTAGCAGTAAAGCTTTAGCTTTTCCTTATGTATGCCTTAGTTACTTGCTGATTTAATTTGCTAATATCCACAATCATTAGGATCTGGCAGGATGGTAACATTAGTGTTCTGAAATGCTTTAGAAGTGGTATAATTATTTTTAGATGCAAACCGGATTAGTTATTCTTGCCTGATGCAGAATGATATAGATAATAAAATGGTTTATAGTAAGTTATGTTTAATATAATTAACAATAATATAAGTTATTATGTTGAGGAGTACTCCCAAGTGGCACAAACGGTTTAACTGCACACTTTGAGTGCAGATTGATCCCTATGGTCCGGATGATATTGATTCAAGTGTCATGTCACTAGTCAAATGTCGCCAGCATTCCTCTTGTGGACCT